AACATCAAAAAATTCTTTGAGAATTAACAGAGAAAACTTTCAACTAACAATCACCGAAAGATTTTATGAGAATTAACAAACAAAAATTTCAACTATTAATCATCAAAAGATTCTCTGAGAATTAACAGAGAAAACTTTAATCTAACAATCATCAAAATATTTTCTGAGAATTAATAGAAAAAACTTTCAAATGACAATCAGTGAAAGATTCTCTGAGAATTAACTAAAAAACTTTCAACTAACAATCATCGAGAGATTCTTTGAGAATTAATGGAGAAAACTCTCAACTAACAATCATTGAAATCTTCTCTGAGAATTAAAAGAGAAAAATCTCAACTAACAATCATCGAAAGATTCTTTGAGAAATAACAGAGAAAACTTTCAAACGTCGAAAGATTCTCTAAGAATTAACACAGAAAATTTCAACTAACAAGCGCCGAAGGATTCTCTGAGAAATAACAAAGAAATACTTCAACTAACAATCTTGGAAATATTCTCTGAGAATTAATAGTGAAAATTTTCAACTAATAATCATCAAAAGGTTCTCCAAGAATTAATAGAGAAAATTTTCAACTAACAATCATTGAAAGATTCTCAAATAATTAATAATGAAATTTTTTAACTAATAATCATTGAAAGATTCTCTGAGAATTAACAAATAAAACTTTCAACTAACAATTATCTACAGATTTTTTCAGAATTAACAGATAAAAATTTCAACTAAAAACTAATGATAGATTCTATGAGAATTAACAGAGAAAACTTTCATATAAAAATCATCGAGATATTCTCTAAGAATTAATAGAGAAAATACTCAACATAACAGTTGGAAATTTTCTGAGAATTAACAGAGAAAACTCTCAACAAAACAACAAGAACTGGTAGATACTTTGAGAATTAATAGAGAAAACTCTCCACAAAATACGAAAGATTCTCTGAAAAATTAACAGAGAAAAACTTTCAACGGATAATGCACATAACAATGGGAGATCCTCTGAGAATTAACAGAGAAGACTTTTATCAAACATTGATAACTGGGAGATCTTTTGTGAATTAACAGATAAAACTCTCATCAAACAATGATAATCGGCAGATTCTCTGAGAATCAACCGAGGAAACTCTCAACAAACAATGTAAACAACAATGGGATATCCTCTAAGAATTAATAGAGAAAAATCTTGACAAAAAATATAACTGGGAGATCCTCTAAGAATTAACAAAGAAAACTCTCCCTAAAGCAACTGAAAGATTCTTTGAGAATTAACAGAGAAAAACTTTCAATTGATCAAAAGAGGAAAACGATAACTCTAATAGGGGTTGACCAATATCGTATAAGACGACTGTCGGCTGAGGAAATATTCCATTAAAGACTCCTTAAGGAGCAGTTTTATCGGGGGGAAAACTTTACAGGGGGAAAAGTTCTAAAGGAGACTCTTTGGAGAGACCTCTGCTTGGGGAACAAATTTTTAGTAGACTCAATGGGGATATCTAATAAGAAGACCTACGGGGTAAAATCTCACTCGGAGGAATACCACTGGCCTAGCCGAGGATTGATTTGGGTTTTCGTGAAAGGTCTCAAATCTTGACTTATGTTGTGTATGCATGTTTTCATTATATTGTGTAATGCTCCACATCAGTGGATATGTTACACATGAAATGATGCATGAAATATTATAATAAATGCATGTAGGTCTGCAAATGGATGATTGGACTTTTGCAAGGCTTGGTTTTTTTAAAAGGTCAAGTGAAGCCAGGTTTCAGGATACCAATGTTAAATCACACTTGGCGTGCCAATGAAGATCGAAATTTTAAGTACCAATGATGCTTGGATTTTGAAAATGATTGGGTTGTGGGTTACCGATGAACACCGGGTTTTGATGATGGTGCCAATGAAGATAAAAGTTGGGTATTTTTCTAGTTGCCAATGAAGATCGGACTTTGTTTTTTTTTTGGTTTCCACTAGAGATTTGGACTTTGGTTAGTGGAAAGATATTGACTTCCTGACACTCTGGATCTTGACCATGTGGTAATCGCAAGGTAGATATGGATTCTCTTGGTGTCCCAAGTTTGATCCATTACTGGCAAGCTACGCGTTTGTTAATGGGAGAAGCCCGACTTCTGTGCTGATTAGGTCGTGGAGACTTGTGGATGATTTCATGTCTTGTGCATCAAACGCATCACTAGGAACTATTAATCTCCCTTCAAACATTTCAAAATAAAAACAATTTATTGTTCTTTTCAATTCTTTTTATTATTTCTCAGAGTTTTAATGCAGTGTTTATAAGAAAAGTTAACTTTTGCAAACAAGCAAAAAAATAAAATAATAGAGAATGCTATGATGAATAAATTTTATTTTATTCAATGAAGAATTGACCGGTAAATGGGTGGCAATACATAAGGATGCAAATCCTATAAGAGGAAATTGCTAAGATAGAAAAAGTAAAATGCCAATGGGAACTGCTTTGAGTTTCCATCAAATTACAACATTGTTATCTTCCTTATGTCTTCAAAATCGCAACATTTTGCTTCCTAGGAGAACAACTAGATTGTTTCTTACCATCTTGAGTTTTTCTATTATGGAGTGGATTCACAGACCACAGTTCTTGCCTTTGAAAAACCCCTAACATTTTTCTAGACTGTCCTTTTGGGTTTTAAGTCCACTGGGATACCCTTTTGTGCCTAAGTCGTCCTTTCAGATTTTTGACTTAGCGGATTCTATTCTGTTGTTTTTATCTCTAATTTTTCCTGGACGACATATTATATATTTTTTCGTCTAATGTGATATCCTTTTTTTCTAAGTCTCCCTTCTGGGTTTTCGACTCAGCAGGCTTTGTTTTTTTTCCCTCTTTTTTAGGCAAAGTACTTTTTGATTGCGCCCGAATTCACTGGAAGTGGAAATTCGTTGCCATCCATAGTTGTGAGAATTAGAGCTCCTTCAGAAAAGACTTTCTTCATAGCGTATGTACCGTCATATTTTGGTGTTCATTTTCCACATGAATCCTTGTGAATAGGCAGGATCTTCTTTTGCAACAACTCACCTTTTTGGAACTCTTTGGATGGCATTTCTAGGAGATTTTCTTAGTGACGTTGCTGATAATTTTATGACAATTTCACAATTACTTGTCTTTTGTTAAAATAGTTGCATGTTATCTGCTTTTTGTAATGGCATTTTAATTTGTTTATTTAGACAGATGCACGTTGTGTGCTTTTTGTATTGACATTTTGATCTACTTTTGACAATTGCACTTTATGTGCTTTTTCTAATGTCATTTTGACATATGCACTTAAAATATTTGCACATTTATAGCATTTTTTATCACAATGATTCCGAAAGATGTATTATTACAATGATAAAACTAAATCATAACTCAATCTCATTCACTCATTCAACCAAAGCATTAACATTACATTGGTCTCATGCCAAAACTACATTGAAATTAAGATATTCTAAACCAACAGTACATTGAAAGTTTAAGACACTAAACCTTAATTGACATTGAAAGTTACACCATATTGTAGATAATAGTAAAAAAACAACCATGACATAATAAGAGCAACCATTAACTAAAAATTTTTCTTTTCATTTTGTAGTAGCTTGTTTGTTTTTTCAACCTTCTTTGAGTTTGAATCTTTATCATATTCTTTGCCAAATTCTTTGCCAAACTCTTTCAAATAACCAAGTATAGCTTTGTACTCCATATCCAAACTTTTGAGAAGTTTCTGATTTTGAGATTTCCATGCCATTTCGTCTAGTTCATCATTCCAGATAAATAACTCATAACTTATATGTGACTGCAATTACCAAAAAATTATGCATCAAGAGTTAAGGGAAGAATGAAATTTACAATACACTACAACTATTTTATATGTACCTTTCTAAAATTTCTGCATCTCCAAAAACTTTCTCTTAGGTTTTCATGGATTTTTAAAACTTACATCTTCATGGCTAGGTTAAAATTACATCGAGATAATTCTCTTCTAGTTAAATTCACAATTGACGAATTCCTACTTCCTCCCATTTATAAACTATAATGAGATAGGAAGAACAATACAGAATGCAGATGAGTGAAGAAGTGGTCTGGGTGAGATACAGAATGTATGTACAAAGATGAAGTTGAACAAAAACTTCGACATATGAAAAAGGAACACTATGTTTTCGAGAGACAAGATCAAGTGGTGAATAAAATAGAATTTGAGTTTTTATTTTGATTCAATAAATAGTTAAGAAGTAAATTAATTGTTAGATCACATTAGTTGTCATCGGTGTAATATAAAAAATTGAAAAACGAATGAAAATTGTCAAAATTGAACTTAGAACACTTAAAGGTTTAATTTTTTTTATAGGAGAAAAATCGCAAAATTCCTATTAACCTTCTAAATAATGAAACAAATCAAACAATTTGTAATAAAATAAGTTTTTGTTCCCTTCATTTTCATTATAAATCATTTAGGAAGAAAAAATTTATACTAAAATATATATTCTTTTACAATACTTATAAATTATTAATGTTTATTTTTGTATTTTACTCTTAAGTATTCATTATCATCTCTATTATCAAGTTTTGAAATTTATTTTTCAATATCATAGATAAGTAACAATTTTGTAAAATCACTCATAACTTTTTTATACAAATTAATTATAAATTTTTTATGCAAAAAGTCCAAAACAAATTAAATAAAAAATGAAGGCAGTATTTTATAGAAGAAACACAAACAAAGGATAGAGATCTATCAACAAAAAGAAAGAAAGAAAAAAAGAATAGAGTAAGCCGTCAAATCTAAACAAACAGAAATAAACTAACTAAATTTAAAGAACTAAAACCAAGTCCTTAAAAAAGAAATACAAGTAACCAGTTAATTTGGACAATTAATTTCTTAATATATTAACCTTGTTACACCTACAAATCATAAAATAAAACCCTAGAAACAAAAACTCAAACAGAACATTGATAGACCAAATAAGCTAATTAGCACGTAAAAGATAGATAATGTAGATTAAGTTAAGCATTTTGCATCCTAGTAGCAAAAGAATGAAAAAGTTCAGGATAGTACAAAACATCTTCCATGATAGAACACTCTGCAGCATGATGATTTTCCCCAACAAACATAGCCACATTGTTATTAAAGTTAAACCCGTTATCAAAACTCTCAAACTGTTGCATTGGAAAACCTTGATGTTGAACTTGATCCAAAGAAACAGAACCAAAACCCTCTTTCTCAGGAACCGTGTTATGATGACGAGATATTATAGGTTGAGAAACTGAACGAGCAAAAGTTTCAGTTTTCATCTTGTTTTCGTTGTTTGTTGTTTTCGAAGTTTTCATAAACTTATGAACAATCTCTTCCAACAAGCCAGAAGATTCTCTCGGAAAAAAATCTGAGTCCTCTTCGATAACGTTTTCAGCGACGTTAACAATAGAAGATGAAACTGAAACCGAAGCTGAAGCCGAAGAAGAAGAAATAGTGTTATTTGTTTTGTTCGGAAAATGTTGAACAAGGGAAGGAACAAAAGAGGTGTGGTTAAGATAATCACCACCGTTGAACTTGCTAATATGGCGGTGTTGAAGTTGTTGCTGTTTTGGAGTATTGAAAGACTGAAAAAAGCAATGTTGCTGTTGTTGATGATGTTGTTGTTGATGATGATGTTGTTGTTCGGTGATTTCGGTTTCGGGGTTAAAGAAATTGGTTCTGGCTTTAGAACCGCGCATGGATATGGCGGCGCAGTCGTACGCGCACGCGGCTTGTTCCGCTGTATCGAAGGTACCAAGCCAGCGGCGTTCTTTGGAGTGTGGGTCTCGTATTTCGGCTGCGTAACGGCCCCATGGTCGGCGTCGGACTCCGCGGTATCGTATTGTGCTGCCGGTTTTGTTTGTTGCTGTGGTGGATGGTGGAGTCTTTTTGTGGCGGCGGTGGTTGTCTGGTTGTTCCGTCGGAGACATTCCGTTGAAGCGTTGAAGTGATTGTTCCATGATAAAATATGGATATGTGAGTTATGAAGTCTTTTGGTCTTATTTATAGAGATTTTGGTACTAATAAAGAAATGTCTTATTAATTATGATTTTTTTTATTTTTATTAGGAGAAATGATGTACTATTGAAATTGAAAAGTGAATTAAGTTGGGAGGAAAAAGCAAAGAAAAAACAAAGAGAAAATGTTAATTGTGGGATAAAAAAGGCTTGTAACTATGTTAAAAGGTGGGGAATGCTATAGATCTAGTTTGATAAGCAATCGACCTGCACACTGCATGCATGGCATGGCATCATTATAATTTCTTCTGCCTGTCCTTTGTGTTTCTTTTTGTCTCAACTATAAGACTGTTGTTACTTAGAGTTTATAACTCTTCAATTTAAATATTTAAGTCTCTAGTTTTGCTTATAGCCAAAAAAAATGGAAAACAATTTAATTCAACCAATTATAAACAATAATTTTATCAAAAATAAAAGAAACTAAGGCATTTTTTGTGATAAAAAAAATGATAAGGAAATAGTTTTTTTCTTCTAAATTTAGTGATGAGTTATAGAGAAATTTCATGTTTTTTTAACTTTAATATATATATATATATATATATATATGTATATATATATATATATATATATATATATATATATATATATATATATATATATATATATATATATATATATATATATATATATATATATATATATATATATATATATATATATATATATATATATATATATATATATATATATATATATATATATATATATATATATATATATACATATATATATATACATATATATATATACATATATATATATACATATATATATATATATATATATATATATATATATATATATATATATATATATATATATATATATATATATATATATATATATATATATATATATATATATATATATATATATATATACACTTTTTTGAAGTAATGTAAATTAAAAACTAAACTAAATTAAGCAAATACAATTTTTAATATCAAATACAATATATATAATAAAAGAAAGGACAATTAAATTCTTTCTAAAGGAATGTCAAGAATATCTTTCCATTAGTTTTAAATTTAAATTGGCTTAATTATTATATTTTTGATATCTATTTTACTTGAGTGACAAAATTGTCTCCCTTCTCTTATTTTTGCATTTAAAATGAACGGTGTTAAAAAAATTTTAAACAATAAATTATTTGTGAAATATATATGATAAATTGTTAAAAATAAATTTATTGTACAACTTTATAGATAAAATTATATATTAAAAAAATAAACATTTCATCAAATTTTTATGAAATATATAATAGGTGATCAAAAGTGTTTAAATTTAAAATAGAATAATTAATTTGTAAATTAAATAAAATTGGAGATTAAGAGTTTGATTGGTAAGTTATAAAAAAGAGCTTTAATTTTTCAACTTACATTAATGAAAAAACTCAGTTTGATAACTGTTTTTTAACTTTTAGTTTATAGTTTTTTTTATTATCTTTTAGCTTATGACTTTTTCTTCCATTTATATCTTCGCTATTTTATCAAAAACTCATTTTTACCCTTCATATTATTATGATTTAAATTAAAATAATTGTGTTTTAGTTGGGAGAATAAAAAAAAGTTAGTCATTATTTTTACGGAACAAATTTACAATACAATTTATCTTTCATTTTATTATTAATAGAATATTTTAATTCATTACACTGAATTGTTTTTTATTACTTTTAAATTATTTTTTTAATTATTTATTACTTTACTTTTTATTATTAAGGTATTATTTTTATAAATATGATAATGACTAATTAAATATATTTGTTTATTAGTAGTCACATAATGGATTTTAAAAGAAAAAAAAAAAGAGAAGAAAGTATGCATTTTATGGAAATCATAAGATCAAATTACAATCTTATTATTTTAGATATTTATGTTTCATTACAAAATTTATATATTAATGTTTAACATATTTTTGTGTTATATTTAAATTTATATTTAAATTTAAAATATTTTGCATTTGATTGTCAATATGTTTATTTTTAGTGAATAAAAATTAATTTAATAAATAGAATCACAAATATTTTAATTAAAAATATCTTTTATGTCATTTATGTATTAATTCGTTAATGTAACCGTTAATTTATCAAACACTCAAATTAGTTTATCAATTATGAATCATCAGCTATAAACTATCGGCTATTAATCACCAACTACTAACTTATCACCTATCAGTTACTTTTATCAAATAGAGTTTAAAACTGTAATTTAATAATTTAAATTCAAATTTGAAAATATAATGATACTAAATATATTTAAAATTTTACTGACTATTATAATTCTCATTGGTTCAAGGCTTTATACCTTTTTTTTTATATCAACAACCAAAGAAACTAAACTAAGCTAAATGTGTGCTGTATAGTTTCATTTATCTTAGGCTGATTATCCTTTCTTTCCTTTTAAGAAAAATCAAAATCTTATTGTTCTTGGTCTTAATTAGAAGTTAGGCTGAGATATTATTAATCAATCTCTTCATGCTTGCTGACCCTTGAATTAAACGGACAGAAAGAGAGGCAAATCAAACAGAAAATAATTTTGACTTTTGATCTGATGGATTAAAAGTTTTATTAGAATTGACTTTTGTAAAGAACAATTCTACAAACCTATGGATATTTGTCTCACGAGTATTTCTAGACACCCATACTGGTAGTACAATAAAAAGACACGAACTGATTCACGCTCTTTTACATGTCATTGTCAACTCATTTTTGTTTCTTACATTTTCTTTTTGGTTGCAACTCCACATATCTACTTGTAATATAGTGAAATTATAAACTAACTATTTAACTCATCCAAAATTATAGATATTTTAGATGAGTAAATATTATAAAAATTAATGATATTCTTATACCTATTCCTAAACCCAACATTTACCCTAAATACTATTTATCTTATTTATACTGTGAATAATATTTTTATGTTTTTCTAATAAATAAAAAAATAAAGTTCATAAAAAAGTATATATATATTTTAAATTAATTTTATAACACAAATATAAAATTTATCATTCCTCAATTTTACTATTACATTAACCACAAAAATATAAGTTATTAACGACATAGTTTACTTATAATTTATTAACTAAATTTACTATTTAATTAACAAATAAATTATAGTATATTAATTAACCCAATTTTGAGATTAAAATATAAAATATAATAACCAATTTTTATACTTTATTAACCAATTTTATTCGCTTTATTTTATATATTTTATAATTTAATATCAAAACTTGGTTAATAGAGTGTAAAAATTAGTTATTATATTTCATATTTGAATGTAAAAATTTGGTGAATGTTAGGTATTTTATTTATTAATGAAGTAGTAAATTTGATTATTAAATTATAAGGAAAAAATGTGGTTAATAAACTAAATTTTGGTGGTTAATGCAACAATAAAATTGATTAATAAAAATTTTTATATTTGTGTTATAAAAATAATTTTAAAAATAAATATTATTTTTTATTTATAGAAAAGACACTATCCTATATAAATAGGATGAATAATATTTGATGTATTTAATATACAATTGGGTATAAGAATAGCAATGCTCATATTATAATAAATATCCAAATAATACATTTCTAAACTAGCAGGTTTTGTATACAGCAAAACTTTAATAAAAATACATTATTTTAGTTATTTTATCTTATTTATGTAGCACCGGTATTAATGTTTAAAAAAATGTATTAGTGTTTAAATTTATTAACTGTTAAAATTATTATCCGTATCACCGTGTTAGTGTCTAAGTTCTATTTAGAGTCGAAGTGCTTTGAAATATCTCATCCTTATTATCAAAGACTATTTTAAGTATAAATGTTTTATTTATCAAAAAAGTTAAATAATTATATTTTTAATGACAAAATAATATATATAATAATTTAGAGAGTTAAAAAAATCACAAGCAGATAAGAAATCAAATTAAATCCGTATAAGAAATGTCAAACTACAGAAGAAAAACAGTCAAAAACTATATATTTTTTACGGTTAAAAAATAATAATAATAAACACCTTAAAAGCAATTTTTGAAGGAGTGTGTAATTTATTTTCAGGTACTGTAGCTCCACCCTAATTCTCCACCAATATGTAGTAATAAATAATCAAGATTTTTGTACAGGAGAGAATGATAAAGTTACTTTATGCAAGCTGTGTTTTTGTTTCTAAATGTAAATATTTTGTGGGAAGTTGAAAATATTCTGAAATTTGAATGATTACTTACTGTGGCGGCGCTCAGAAATTGTTCCTCCAACTTTGGTGTTTTAGGAACTCCATTTTCACTCGTTTTCCATTTAGGTTACTTTGATTGTGCCACTGTTCATACATCTTAAATACTTTTTCAATCCCTGAAACATGTCGAGAGAAAAAACAAAGGATTTAAAGATCACATGCACTTGTCTGAAAGTGACTAATAAGTTGCCATTAACGAGTGTGTACTATTTGGGTGCAGAGAAAATTACAAAAGATCTCTTTGCATTGCAAGATGCAACTAATGCACTTATCATTTATGCTCTCTTTTCGTCCAATTCCAAATGTTCCCTGAAAATTTAGTACTTTTTTTTTTGTTGTCAATAGTACATGGCCATAAGTATTTTCCTTTTTTGATATTAGTATACTTACAACTACTTTTTTTACAATAAATATTTGAAGAATTTATTTGATATAGTAAATATTTAAAGACTTCATTTTGAATGTTGTAATTTAAACATTATATTTGAGGTTGTGCAAAAATTATTATTATTGGCTTTGATCTGCTTGCTGTCAATAGATACTTGTTAATTATGTTATAGTTTTTAATTACATGTATTAGTTGTCGAATTATAAAAGTTTAGTCAAGAATTTGCTGATAATTCTTAATGATAATTTATTTTAAAGATGAGTTGAGCGAGAAACTCTATTTCTCAATTGTGAATTTTTTAACTACTAAAAAAATGTTAAACATAGATA